AAAAAAAAAAAAAAAAAAAAAAAGGGTTTGCTAAGTGTTAAATCTGCAAGGTATATACTTTGGTCTTATCCTCAGGTGCAGGCCGTTGAGCTCACCAAGTTCGATTACAGATTATCAAATCGGCTGGATTCGGATTTACAGAAACTGAGATGCCGAGTGAACTATCATGCCCTGAGATTTACAGATCCCATTCACGAAATGGGAATCAAGTTAGTCGAGAGGATGAGAGCGAAAAGCAAGCATTATGTTGCCTTACATTTAAGGTTATTATCTGAGGATTTTTATTTTATTTTTTCTCAATTTCACAATAAACAACACTTGCTGACATGACAGATTTGAGCCGGATATGCTGGCATTCTCCGGATGCTACTATGGTGGTGGCCACAAAGAGACGAAAGAGCTCGGCGCAATAAGAAAGAGGTGGAAAACTTTACATGTGAGTAGAGTCGAGTCAAGCCGACCCTCTTACACATACATAATAATCTTGACGGTATATTTATTTGATAATATGTATTTGGTTATTAATATATAATCCCACATTTAACATTTTTTAACAGATGAAAAACCCGCAAAAGGAACGGAGGCAGGGGAAATGCCCGTTAACTCCCGAGGAAGTTGGACTTATGCTAAGAGCATTGGGCTTTGGGAATGACGTGCATATATACGTAGCATCCGGCCAAGTTTACGGAGGTGAAGATACATTGGCACCTTTAAAAGCTCTTTTCCCCAATCTCCACACCAAAGAGACTATTGCTAGCAAGGAAGAGATTGCTCCATTTTCGTCCTTCTCGTCTCGCATGGCTGCACTCGATTTTATCGTTTGCGATGAAAGTGATGTTTTCGTTGCGAATAACAACGGTAACATGGCTAAAATACTCGCTGGCAAAAGGTATGCGATGCGTTTATCTGAGAGAATGAATAATTCTTTTTTTTTTCAAAAAAAAAAAACTAAATTGAACTATAAAAATTTATGTCTTAGGAGATACTTTGGTCACAAACCAACCATACGCCCAAATGCAAAGAAGCTCTATCGGGTTTTTCAAGACCGGGATAAAATGAAGTGGGAAGAATTTGCCTCAGTTGTTCGAAAATTCCAGGTTGGTTTCATGGGGCAGCCCAATGAGGTTAGGTTGGGTAGGGGTGAATTTCACCAACACCCTTTGTCTTGCATATGTGAAAAATCGCATCTTTTTCAAAATAGAGGTAAAATCGATGGTGAAAAAAGTAGTAATAACGACATGAATGATGAAGGGTTATCGGAAGACGAGCAAGATTGGGCCGAAACGGGATATTACGGTGAAGATGAGAATAACGGTGGGAGAAAATACTCTGATTTTGCACAGATGAACTCTGAGCAGCCAGAAATTGAAGAAATGATCTCAGATAGATAGAGGGCTTTATAATTTTGATCAATTGAATTTTTTGGTATTAGTACTGAAGTAAAGTTTTGATCTTTATGCATCAAATGATGAGATGCTAAACAATATGAGTAGCTGCAGGTAGATGCAACTTAACTTGTACATAGATTCTTGATATTTTTTTGTTTTCTTATTATCCCTTTGCCATTTTTAATATTTTTTAAGATTGTAAATTATTGTGAATTGTCCTCTGTTATGAATTTAAACTTTATACATTTGCTCATTTTGTTGGGACATTTCAAGAAATAAACGAAATGAAAGAAATCAGCCAAAGAGAATCTGTAATTATATGTCAATTGTTCAATTCAAACTAGTACAGAGCCCGTGCGATGCACGGGGTGCACAATTTTAAAGTTATTTATCCAGACTTATAATTATATACATGAATAAAGAAAAATGTACGGAATATATATATATATATAGTACGTGACCCGCGAGATATATTTATTTGGACAATATTATATTATAAGATGCAATATTCAATAAAAGTTTATAATACGCAATAAATTGTACGATGTTCAATAAAAATTTTATAATATTCAAGTGGAGTCTTAAGGTCTCTTGTAGCCAAATTGTGAATGTGATTTGAGGAGTACAACAAATCAGTAAAAATTTTATAATATTCAAGTGGAGTCTTAAAGTCTCTTGTAGCCAAATTGTGAATGTGATTTGAGGAGTACAACAAATCGATATATAGCTGACTTGTTTTTTTCATTGTAGTTTTTTTTTTTCTTTTTTTTTATAATGAATTTAAAGATATTCTAAAATATAGCAAAAATTAATTTTTTTTATTACAATTAGGAATTTTACTAAATTTAAGCTCTCAATCTATAGTGTTAATCAACGTTTAAGTCTAAAAGATTAGGAATTTTTACCTCTTTTAATCAACGTTTAAGTCTAAAAAACAATAGAGTTATTATAAGTTTTTTTTCTACATCTTTTAAAACATTAAATACGAGCATGTTAGGGCTAGCTTGTAAAATAATTAATATATTATCTCACTAAAACATTTATACTAATAAAAATTTAATTTTAGCATATAAATTTATCCCTTGATATTAGAGAAAGTAACAGTTTTACTTATTGTTGTTCACCATATAATATTTAATTATTATATTATTATATAATAAAAAAAGAATATTGTTAAATAGTGTAAAAGAATTGTTATAAAATTATATGAATTTTTTTTTACAATATGGATTTAATATTTTTTATGATTTGATAATATAAACAAATCTATACTTAACTTTGACAAATAAAACAAATAAATACTTTAGTAAGTATTTAATGTATATAC